GGTCCTCCGGCCCCCTGCACTGTGGAGCTGTGTGCAGAGCTGTGGCTTTACCTCAGTTTCTGCGTCTGTAATCGTTGTCTGATTCCCCGATAAACAAGCTAAGCACAGGCCTGCTTGTGCTTACCTATTCATCAGTAGTGAGCAAGTTCATATTTTTTCACCACATCAAAGACTCATACCTTTTCTAAGGAGGGCTGGTATCTGCCTTATCGCCACCACCACCACCCCCCACTCCCCCAGCACCTACCCACCGTATCAAAGCCTCTTTTCAAAATTGCAGTCCCCGAGTATCCAGTAAGCAAGGTGAACATGGCCTGACTCACGCTCACTCATCCGCAGTGGACAAAACGTGGAAGTGTTCACGACCGATTACTTAGTGAGCACTGGTGGGTCAGTGCTGCCCTTGCCTTGCTTTATTGGGGACTGTGCCCCTGGTGCTTGCCTAGAGTCCGGCGTGAGGGTCCCCGGCTCCCAGGGTAGGGAGTGTCAGGAGCCCTGGCAGCTGAGCTAAGGGCACAGTCTCACTCAGGGGCACCAGCCCACTTGAGGGGGGGCCCCCACCATGGTGCACATGAGGTGCCCTCTGCTTGTCCCCGGTCACCCCAAATCTGGCCCCCATGGGTCAAGCAGTCAACACAGCTGGGGGCTCCAGAGCAAGTGGACTGGGTGAGGTGCCTGTCTGTGCTCCTGGGGGTGGGACCCACAGGGCCCTGCCCGGCAGGGAGGGGGTTGGGGAGACATGAAAGCCACACCAGCGCGCCGTCCTGAGCATCCTCTGCACCCTGAACTGAGCTGGGCACACTCGTCTGACTGTGCCCATGAGGTCGGGGCTCTCCTCTCACCTCGCATAGGAAATCTGAAAGGTGAGTGGAGGGCTTGGGGAGCAGAGCCGGCGGAGCGGGGCCCCCAGCCTCTGGCCGGACTGAGTGCCTATGGGGATGAGCCCCCCACCCCATGTGTCAGTGAAGCATGTGGGCGCCTCGGACACCTGGATTCAGGAGCAGGTGCTGCCTGCTAGAGAGATGCAAGTGAGCTCAGACATGTGACACGGGGTGGGCCCCACAGGAGGAGAGCCGGAGTCCGGCTGAGGGGGAGGCCCAGCCCTCTTGGTTTCCTTCTGTCGAGCAGATCGGCTCCCACCCCCACCCAGGAGGGGGCCGAGGAGGCTGGTGGGAGGGAGTGTGAGGCTCTACCCCAGAGACTTGGATCGCTGCTAATTTGCAATCTTAAAATGCACAGCAAAGACACCCGCCACGTCGCTAGTGCCTTAATCAGGCAATCAACGGGTCCGTCTCCCACAGCCTGCACAGGCAGGGGGGTGGGGGTGCGCAGAAGGAGCCCAGCGATGGGTGCCAGCCTCTCTGCAAGGAAGCTCAGTGGGGCACCCTTCCAAACCCCCAGATGCCTGGATGCATCCAGAGCTTGGGCTAAGGGTGCTAGATGTGGGCAGGGTAGCTGGGACACCAGCTGGCGCGGGTGGGGTTGGGGGGGAACCTTGGTGATGGGACAGGCTTCTATGGTGAGGCCCTTGGGTGGTGAAATGCTTAGTGGACTCCCCTGTTAACCGAAAGGTTGGAAGTTAGAGGTGCCTGGGTGGGTGGACCTGGTGAGACGCTTCTGACCAGCAAGGCTTGCAACCTCTCTGGAGTACGGATCGGTTTGCACACATGGGTGGGGCTGTGTGGGAGGGGCCATGAGTAGGAGCTGGCCAACAGGCAGCCAGTTTGGGCATTGTCCAGGGCAGCTTCTCTGGCCTAGGTACCCTGGCATGTGGGCATGACTAAGGCTGCAGAGTGGCCCCTGGACTACCTTCCTAGATGGGCAGTCCAGGAAGTGATGCCCCATGGTCTTGTTGCTCCACCTGCTGCACCCCCAGACCCTGATAGAACAGCATGCTCTTTAGTGGGCTACAAGGGTATATAGGCCACGCCTTGTGCCACGGGTTGGCAGTGGTACCTCTCAGAGCAAGGGTCAGTTGTCACGCTGCCCCTGCTGCTGGACATTCACACATGGCTTGTGGGGCAGCCTGACCTTTGCACCTAAATCACACGCAGACTCTCTACGACGCACCCCTGGAGCCTTATTTCCAATGGAGAGGTGTGGCTCCTTGTGTGGTCCCTACCTCCTCTGGGGTCACTTTCAGAGACCCCCACTCCTGGGGCCTTAGGGAAACGGAACATAGGAGGCAGAAGAGGTTGTGCCTCCGGCTCGGGATCTAGGGGCAGAAACACTGCTCATAGCCACGGCCACCCACCGTCCAACACACACACACAAACACACACACACACACACACACACACACACACACACACACGGCGGCTGTGAGGATCAGAAGATGGAGAGCCAAGCACTTTGTAAACTCCAGTAAGCTGTACAAATGTCAGGTGGCATTAGCACTGAGCCTGCCACTGCTCACCCAGGGCCCCCACGAGTGTCTCTCCCGCTGCCAGACTTCAGGAAAGGAAGTGCCTTGTTCTTGCAGGACCCCCCGGGAGGCTGCGGTGGTGTCCCCTGGGTGTCCCATGAGCTCAGGTTGTATGGCCAAGGCCATGTCCCTTTCAATGTGAGCTGTGGGACGGAGCACAGTGGACAACAAGGGTCTGTGAGCTGGACGACCCCCAGACTCCCTCAGAGTGGCCTTCCTGGGGCAGGGTCCTGCAGGTGGGGCTGGGCAGAAGTGAGGCCCTGGGACTGAAATGAGTATTAGCTGCTCGGAAGGTGTCACCAGCGTGGGCTGGCCCCTCCTCCGGGCCTGGGGTCACAGGCTGAAGGCAGTGGGCAGGTTTCCAGGCATCCCCTGGACTGGGGGCCCAGGTGCTTACCCCCTCACACTTCTGCCCACCCTTGACTGCACTGAGGTGGGTGGCTCAAAGCTGGAGGACAGGCCCGCACCCTCGCCCTGGGAGGGCAGGCCTGGACAGCCTCTCCCACTCCTGTAACAGTCAGGCCCAGCCTGCAAACTGCCCAGCGGCTGGGGTGACTGAAGGCACTGCAGAGACCCAGGGAGGGTCCTCAAGCGGCACCGCCACCACTGAGGTCATAATTGCTCTGAAATCACAACCACACGCAATTATGCAAAAACCAAATTATGTGCGATGATTTTTATGTGTTGCAAACGTTCGTTCGAAGCTGGGTGATTACAGGCGACGGGAAGCAGCTGCTGCTCTCTGGGAGCCCATAACTCCCAACAGCTGGGAGCTGCCACTTATTTACGGCCACGCTGCGCCTGCCAGGCCCCAGGGTGA